AATATACCTCGAGTTGTAAGGAACTCTGTAGGAAATAATTCCTCAATCTCTCTCTCTCTCTCTCTATATATATATATATATATATACATGTAATATAAAAATAAATATTTAAATTCGTAACCTTTAGCTGAAAACTTAGATGATGCAAAATGAATGCAATGTTGCGTCAGCTATTCCCCTCCAGACACTAAACCTTCCCTATAGTCTTAGTACCACCTCTATTTAGGAGGACGGAACCAGTAGAATCCTGGAAATACCCATAAATCACAGCTTTTGGGGAATTTGCTTGTTCGCTATCTCTTCTGGATTTCCCCATGTAAATATCGTTTTTCCCCAAGTCGTGTTTCTTATGCCTGTTAAAAACCATGGTAACACGTTGCTCCAGTGTTCTTTCTACGAAGGAGAAACCCCTAACATTAAGTAAACAATTTGAATTATAATAAAATAAAATTTCAAAAGGTCTGAAATCTACAATGCCAAAGAAGAAAGAAATTACAGTTCAAGAGACACAACTAATGAGATACAAAAATAGTCTTTAGACTAAACTGGAAACCTATTTCAACAGCTGTCGCTGAATTAGACCAATGATTTAGTGTTAAGCAATGCTTTATGGATCCACCTTCCCCGTACAGCAGAAATTTTTGTCATAATAGAAAAAAGAAGAAAAACAGAGCTATGTATGTATATATATATATATACGGATCCTTTTTTTCAGCTCGACTTTTTAAGAATCAACGGTCTAATGCAATGCTACCTCACCTTTTTTATCACCGTGGACCGGTCCAATGTTAGATAATTTTACCGCAGCTCGTTGAGGGGTGGGAGACGTTGAAATTGTAGATATTTTAGACTGTCTTGATTTGTTAATTTAAATTTAGTTGTATTTAAACATGCCTTCAAAATAAAATACAGTTACACCAAAAAATGAAAATACAGTGTTTAACATGGAGTATAGAGTGATTTCCAAGGAAAGTTGCACAAACTCAAGAGAAATACACCAAAGTAAAAAAAGAGAAATAATTCAATGTTGCTTGGGCGGTCTGGTACCACTTGATCCACGGGACGATACCAGTCCACGGCCCGGGGGGGGAGGACCACTGGTCTAAAGGATTTTGTTTGACCTGGTCAGTCTCTAGAGCAGATTTTCTCAACTTTCGATCACTGTGGTCCACCTTTATGTATCAGCCTCACATCGTGGACCTCCAAGATTTATGTAAACCCCTTTCTGACACCCAACACATGGCTGGGTGATTTAAGGGTTCCTCAAAAATCGTAAGAATTCAGTTTTTGATCTTTTTTCACGTGTGTTTCTCCTATTTTTTTTAAAAAAAATATTACGTTCTAAAATTGCAATACAGTTGCAAACATTAAAGAAAATACTATGTGTGGTTATGATCTCACGATAAAAAAAAAACTTCTGTTTATTCTGGACAAGAGAATCCAATTGTTTGGATGTACTTTTGTAAATTAGAATCATTGCATATCCAAAATGGGATCTTAAGGTATCCGACTACGTTCGGAACCGTTATTTTTTCATCCGTATAAATGGATAACATTTTTTATATTTAGTGTCACTTAGATTAGAAAATGTATATAAAATTGTTGTAAGAATATTATTACAACAAAAAAATTATTTAAGTACTATATTTTGACAAAAAATGAACATAGAATGACCAATTTTCAAAATATTCTCCTTTTTGTGAAAAATGCTTCTATTTTAATAATATTTTGCCTGTATATAGCTCTGACCTCTGTACAGAGGCTCAACTAGAACTTTTGAAATTTATAACTTAGAAGTGGGTTTATCCATGTTTTACGACAACAGAGGGGGAAAATTTTAAGAAAAAAACGCTGATAATTATTTCAATGGGTTGTAACTCCAAAAATAATGTGAATTTTTCCAAAAACATAGTTGAGCCTCTGTAACGAGGTATGAACTATATACAGGCAAAATTTTATTATAATAGAAGCATTTTTCCCAAAAGGAGAACATTTTGAAAAAAGGTTATTCTAAGTTAATTTTTAACCGAAATATTGTATGTAAATAATTTTTTTTTGTCAAAATGTCCTTAAAACAATTTTATACGTGTATTCTAAAATCTAAGTGACACTAAATATTATGAAAATTATCCATTTATGCGCTTTTTAAAATCATGGTTCCGAACGTATTAGGATACCTTAACTAATTATTTTTTCTACGATGTTATATGAATTCTTATTCTTATTATTTATTTGACGTTTTTCATTAAGGAATTAAAAAGTATTCTTCTTTTCAGGAGACCAGTTTTGTAGCTAAAAAATACTTCTGGACAAATTAGATCTCCCTAAGATGGACAAGAGGAAAAATCGATAAACATTAAAATATTGGGGGAGAGGGGCTTAACAGCACTATTATCTCTCCCCTACTCTCCATAATTAGTATAACTTAATATCATCGATGAAACTTTACAGTGAAAACTGCTTCGGTGTATTTTCCGATTAATGGCATGTAATTAATAATATCTGTTAGCTTTTAAATCTGAGGATAACTAACATTTTTTTTCTGTGATTTTGTTTTCATACATTTAATAAACATTAAACTGAACATGATTTTTACGGCGGACAATATTAGAATTATAAGTCCCAATGTACAATAATAAAAGAAAAAGAAACACGTAATTCAAGAAATTGTCAGGAAAAACTAGTAATATGCTTAAAAAAAAGTTAAGTCAATTCCTACTTTGAATGGATGAATAGAAAGTATTTTATTAATGATTAAAAATTTGAACAAGATATATATATATATATATATATATATATATATATATATATATATATATAGAGGAGAGTGAACTAATAGTAGAAATTGAAAAAAGAGCATGACTTGTCTTCATTGTTGCAACAATGCACACCCGGTCTGACTAGTTTGGCTGAAAAACCGGTTTTCGACGCCAACATTTGTCATTGTTTCAACAGTTACATTGTTATAACAATGGAGACGATTCTAAGTTGGAGTCGAAAACCGGTAATTAATTTAATTAAATTTCATTAATGATTTAATATTTGAAACAACTGTATTAACATCAAGTGTCATCCAGTACAAGTTTAAAAAAATTTACTTGAACTTGATTGGATGAATAGAAAGTATTTTATTTACGATTGAAAATTTGAACAAGATAAATATATATAAAGAGAGTGTGAGCTATATAATAGTAAGAATTGAAATAAAGGCAATAATCATTTTTATTTCAAAAGCTCGTGAACCTCAAATTGTTTTAAATGTCTCTATCCTTTTGTCGTTAATTAAGTCTCCAATTTGAAACCTCAGTTTCCTGTCACCGTATCTCTTTCTATGCAGTTTATCTAGAAATTTCATTTGGAAAGTCTTACCTACAAACCTCTTTATGATTAGGCCGAGAATTAATATCTTAGAACGATGTCATCTGGAAGATATATATAGCAAAAGAACTTCATCTCGAAAATTATGGTTCAGAGATACTTGTCGAGTTTGTTCTAGAAAGAATAATTTAATTTTTTTTTATACTCACTGGTCTACCCAAGCGTTCAACCGTGAAACATGTCACCGGGGTTTCTTTGGTACTAAAGAAAGCATGAAGTTGTTAACGACCGCTTTGAAAAAAATAACAATTGCTTTATGGGTAGTCAGCATCACTAAATTTAACGCTTTTATGGCGAATTCGGATCGTCCAGCTCAGTATAAAGGACACAGTAAATTATTGCTCTATTAATACTTGACGTTTGTAGGGTTATTACTTTAGCCATTGAAAAAAAATCTATCGAACACTACATGACCAATATGTTAAATATTTATTGAAAGTTTTAAGTGTATATTTGAAGTAAGGTGTCTCAGGGGTGTTAAATTTGTCCAGAGGTCTGAAAATATAAACAATTTTCAAACAGGTATAATCCTTTTAAATTTTAATTAAATGATTTGAACCTTTTACAAATTATTTATAAAGGAATGTGGCTTCAGAAAAGTATAAAATGTTTAAAATATAATAATAATTTTAAAAATCATAGGCACGTGAAAATTCTATAATAAATATTGAGTACTTTTTGCGTTGCGCACGCCATTTTCTAAAATAGTAGCCTCTGATGTATAAAACTTTATAGAATTGTAAAATGCATCATACTCTTTAAGCCCTACCTAATTTTAGTATTATATATCTTTTGTATTTCAAAATATTTTTTTGTAAAACATTGCAACTTTTTAAATATTTTTAAAAATATATTTTTTTATTTATTAAAATATGTAAGTTATTATTCTATTTATATAAAAATAGCTACAGTGTAATGAGAATACATTTAACTTTATTAATCAACTTATAGCTAGTAATTAAAGCTACCATTTTAGAAAATAGTATGCGCGACGTAAAACTTAATAAATATTTCTTATAGAAAAGTTTCTTATTTTCATATGTTTTCATATGCTTATATATATTACATTTTAAACATTTTATACTTTTCTTAATCCCCATTCCATTATAAATAAATTGTAAAAGATTCGAATTATTTAATTTAAATTTAAAAGAATTATACCGGTTTGAAAATTGTTTATATTTTCAGACCTCTAGAGAAATTTAACACCCCTGAGACCCTTAGATTTGTACAGAACGAAAATTTTAATTTTGGTAATGTGAATTGGAAAAAAAAGGATATCTTCTTCGATCGGATGTGCATGTATTTTTATGTAAGGTCTCGAGTTTCGTAGCCGATGGCTTTTTAGTTGAATCGAAGGAAAGGGGGAGTTGTTGGGTAGGGTCGTGTTCTGATTCCAGCATTTAATGTGGCGTAAGATGAGATAGACTGGAAGAAAAATTAAAATCTTATTATAAAGCAACACGAGAGTTATTGGTGACGGATCTCGCACTTTAAGCCTCGGTCAAGTGACGAGGACGACACCTGAAGTGACACCTCTCTCCAAACTACTACACCATGCCAATTGAAGGACTTTGAGCTTGACAGAATTAATTTGCATCAGCCACTTATACACGGTGGGTTTCCAATGGCAACAGGACTCAAACCTGTGACACGCCATCCACGAGTACGTAATCATAACCATTCGACTACATCAGAGCTTCTCAAACTGTGGGGCGCCACCCCCCTAAAGGGGCGTCATAATTCTAGAAGGGGGGTGCGAGCAAATTGAAAAGTCAAAAACAGAAGATTATTTAAAGAAATATATTAATTTATTGAAAGTAAACAAACAAAATACATTCTGACATAATAAAAAATTTAAAACACATACGCATATCAGTGTATTTATAAGTGTATTATAATACACTTATAAATACACTGATATAATACACTTATAAAATACACTGATATAATACACTTATAGAATACACTGATATAACACACTTATAAATGTATCAGTGCTGCATACAGTGTATTTTATAATTAATTTGACAACACTTAATTAAGAATAAGTTCTATAATTACTAGTGATCCCACGGGCTTTTCATATATAAAATTATATGCAAACATTAACACTTATCTTCATAATTTGTATTATTTATAATTAATCCTTTAACTGCCGATTAAAAGTTACGCGATTCGCTCCCCAGTGCCACTGTTTTGCTCGTATGCAATCGTATGTGGTGTATTGAGGCGGGGAGGGGACAGGTATTAAATAAGAAAATCTTCTGAATTAATTAAATCCGTTGAAAAAACTGTCAAGTTTATTTTTTGCATTCCAAAGCCTTCGGAATAATTTTATGGATAGCAGTGAACTGAAAAGATCGTATTTCGGAAAGACGTATATATACGTCCGGGGCAATTTACGCACTGGCTGAGCGAGACCTTTATATACGCTGGTGGCAATTAAGAGGTTAAAGTAGTATTGTTGCTTTAGCGTCAAAGTGTATTATCGAATTCAATAGATTGTTATTGTATGGAGAGGGGAACAATGAAAATTATAATTTAATATTGGGTCGCAAGAGTATTGAAAGTTTGAGAAACACTGGACTATACAGCGGAAACCATCGTGCGAAATAATGGAAGCTAATACAAGTTAAATGGAATTTATCTACAGTGATTTCACTTGGAATGATATAAATATTAAGAAAATGAAGGCCATCTACTTCAGTGGTCCCCCAACCCACGGGCCGCGGACCGGTGACGGCCCGTGAGTCAAATGGTACTGGGCCACACAAGGAACATTAAATTATTTCTATTTTATTTACTGTGGTGTATTTCTCTTTGTTTTGTTCTACTTCCTGTTGATATAAAGAATCAACATCCCTCCTCTGTAGACCGAGGTAAAATTAGCAAACGTTGACCAGTCCGCAGCGATCAAAAATTTAGGGGGAGGGATGATCTCCATCACTCAACCATTTATTAATATCCCAAATTTTGTTGGTTCTAGCCCTTGAGAATAACTCTACAGAAACTAAAATTAATTCAGAGAGGTATTTCTGATAAACATTGATGAATCTCATGAAAAGAAATCTAACTAAGAAAATGTATCTTTTGTCTTATAAATGATATATAATCATTCATACAAGAATCATTTTAAGGAATCATTGTTACGTAGAAATAGATATAAATAATTGTAATAAAATATAATACCGGGTGATTCTAAATGAATATATATATATATATATATATATATATATATATATATATATATCGGAGTTTTAACGCTTTAGAGTATTTATTACATTTAACTTACAAGTACAATTCATACATCGAATGAAAGAGTAACTGAAAGAGTTTTACCTAAAAGCTTACAAATGTTCAATGTGAACCCCATTCGTCACACGACACACATCAAGTCGAAAGGCGAATTCATCCCAAACTTTGCTCAGTGTGTCTGAGGTAATTCTTGTAGCACCTGCTTCCATCCTGTGTCTTAAGTCTGGGAAGGTCAGCTGGTAGCGAAGGTACGAACACACAATCCCTTATGAACCCTCACAGAAAAGAATCACATGGTGTCAGATAGGGTGAGCATGGTGGCCATGGGAAACAAGCTTTATCGTAATTCCCTTTGCGGAAAATTCATTGGTCCAGAACAGTGATATTCAACTAATCTTGTACTTAGAGATGCCAGTGAGGCGGTGCACTATTTTGCTACCAAAAGAAGTTGTCTGGTTCCAGTAGCGCACACAGGAATTTTTCAAGGAGGGGGTCCGGGGTCTAATGTTCACCATTCTTGTATCATGCTCCGTTTGATTTTGTTGATTTTCGGGAACAAAACACACTAAAAAACTAATTATTGAATAAATAATTAGCATTAATTAATAAAATGAATCATTAATAACAAATGCTTAATTAAATTTTACGTACTATATACTTAGAATTATTATCAATCCGAAAAAAATCAAGGGCTTTGGGGGGTACGGACTCCCAGGACCTCCCTTGTGTGCGCCACTGTCTGTTCTTACAATTGAGGAAATAGTCAGTTGTACAGAATCAAGATAGGCTCTGAAGTTGGTTGCTTTCCCGAAAACGAAAGGCCCATATACTTTCTGCCGAGGCATGGCACAAAAAACATTCAATTGAGGTGAGTCTCGTTGTGATTCTAGCACCTCGTGATAATTTTCTAAGCTCCAGCTGCGCGTATTATGAGTGTCCGCATGTCCACTGAGGTGTCCACCGGAACGCTCTTTGCACAGTAATAGCAGATTCTGTCTTTGCAAACAGGAGAACCCAAAACGCTTTTCTGTAACCTAGTAGCCATTTTTCTACTAGCGCGCTGATCGGCGAGGAATTTAACATACGTTTCACGCACATGTGCACACATGCCTGAAAACAAAACTTTTTCAGTTAGTCTTTCATTCGATGTATGAGTTACACTAATAAGTTAAATGTAATAAATACTATTAAACGTTAAAACTCCGATATTCATATATAAACACCCTGTCTAATGCTCTTAATGTGACGTTTTTTGGGAAAATTGATGAGTTGCGTGTGACATAAGGAGTTAAATTATGTTTACAGCTGTTAATTACAATATTTACAGTTAGATACTAGTCATTCAAACTATTAAGAATATTTTACTGGTGATAGAGGAGCGAAAAACACAACGTCTCTTTTCGAGTGTTCCAAGTGGTCTCCTCTCTCCACTATCTTTGGGTGGGGCTGTCCCTTCTTACACCTCAAATTTCACTCGAGGTTCGGCTCTCAGGTAAATCGCATACGTTGTTTTTCTCATGGTCATCGGTTGTCTGCGTGATGTGAGATGAAAGGATTTTGCAATAGTTTAGGGGTGCATGTTTGGATATGAAGGGCATAATATTATCTGCATAGGAAATACGATATTGAAGCTACGAGGCGGGAAATGTACAATAGTCAAATAAAGTTTCTTTAATCTTGAACAAAGCAGAATATGTATACAATATACATTACCTTAAGGTAATTTCTAATTTTGATTCAGTATGCAACTATCAAATTTATAAAGGCCATGGGTAGCCTAGTGGTTAGAGCATTGGACTCTAGACCGGATGGCCTGGGTTTGATGCTCGATGCCACCAAATACCCTCCGAGTACACACGAAGTACGTGCTCGTTAAATCAGTGGGTCCGAAAGTCTTGTGGGCTGAATCACGAGTGCAGGGGACTGGAAAATATTTCCTTCTCCTTCAGTTCCATGCCTAAATTGTGGAGATTGAAATCGGTGGTGTCATCATCTATCGTACCTTCGGGGAATTTCGCCGAGTTAATTCGTACCGTCACCTGTATGGTGCTCAAGGCCAACGACAGGCATACTTCTAGCCCCTTGCCACGATGAATTTCGTGGGCCTCGATCTGACTGCGTCAGACAGGTGGCATTAGGAACAACAACAACAACAAATTTATTACAATAAACTAATGCTTATAAGACCAAAACTTTTGTTGAAATCCCATGCATTTAATACAACTAATAACGAGTATTTTCTTACAAATTTGTCTTACTAAGAAAAATTTGTAAAAAGTGTATTTTTCAAATATTGTTCTTAATCTTTGATAGAAGGGAAAGTTTAATTACCTGTATGATACATTCTTTAATTAAAAAAAATCGTATAATATACGATAATCCTTTCCTTCCATATAATTTCCGTATTTGGGTACTCTTTTATGCTTCTTCCGTATATGCAGATTATTTTGAGGAATTTAGTCCTAGATTTTTGACAGCTTGAAAGGCAAATAGTTATCTTAAACCAAGAGTTTGAATGAAAAATAAATATTTTATATTTTTAATTTGAACTATCATTTTATATTACATTTACAATGCGTCAAGATTTAGTCCTTTTTTTCATTTTGAACTTATTATGCGTATGTTATCATGTTATCAAGATTGACTTGATAGGAAAAAATCTGTTGTCCTTATGCTTTATTACCATCTCTTTTAATGAGGTTTTTGTTTTGTTTTGTTCTACTACAGGTATACTTATGCCAACAGGACGACTTCGGGCATCAATAGATATAACATACCACGACCTCTCTACACAATAGGACTTCAAGGGCATTAAGACTCGGACTCATGAACTTGACAGAAATAATAGATACCACAGGTTTGAAACCATGACTACTACTAGTCAACTGCAAACATCGTACACTAACCAAAGCTACAGAACCTACTTTTAAAAAAATAGCCAACTTTCAGAAAATCATAATAAAAGGAATTTAAGGATTTTCTTTCTTCGAGGAAAATTTTGTATATGTATTAATTTAATCATTTCGAATAGTTTTCAGTTTCCCAAACTGCATATTTCCCCCCTCTGATTCAAAAGCATTAAAAAAGCCAATTCTTCTTCTTCAAAAATTTAAATAATTTAAGAAATGCAGCTAATATCTATCAGAAATTTTAAACACGTTTCATCTGCATGAGATTGTAAGGTGTCTATATCTGCGATTCTACTAATAAACCTCTCGAGCAAAATTAATTTTTTTAACTGTGATTTCGGTTGAAAAACACTCTTTATGAAGAAGACTGGATTTATGCAAATTAGAACTTCTATTAAGTGTTTTCAGTAGAGTAGGCGAGGATGGATGAAAGTGGATATATTGAAACGTGATTAAGATAACGACTGGAGCTCGTATAGTTAAGCAAGTTATCTAAAGATAAACCAAGTAGTGGAGTCAAGAGTGCTCCCA